TTCTTATTGTTCGTGAGTTTGTGGACGTGTTTCCGGACGAGCTTCCAGGAGGACCACCTAACCGGCAGGTAGAGTTCTCTATTGACCTTATTCTAGGAGCCGGCCCAGTTTCTAAAGCACCTTACCGTATGGCGCCGAAAGAATTGCAAGAGCTTAAGGCGCAAATTCAGGAGTTATTACGACTCGGTTTCATTCGGCCGAGCGTGTCACCATGGGGAGCACCCGTTCTTTTTGTCAAGAAGAAGGACGGATCTGTGTGCATGTGTATCGACTACCGAAATCTTAACCGGTTGACGATCAAGAACAAATATCCGCTTCCCAGGATCGACGATTTATTTGATCAGCTGAGGGGAGCTTGTGTTTTCTCCAAAATTGATTTGCGATCAGGCTACCATCAGCTGAAAACCAAGGAGTCAGACATTCCCAAGACCGCTTTCCGTACTCGTTACGGTCATTATGAGTTTGTTGTCATGCCATTCGGACTCAGCAACGCTCCAGCAGTATTTATGGACCTCATGAACCGTATCTTTCATCCCTATCTTGATCAGTTAGTTATCTTTTTCATTGATGATATTCTTATCTACTCCAAGAGCCAGAAAGAACACGAGGAGCATCTGAGGGTTGTTCTTGAAACTCTTAGACGAGAAAAGTTATATGCAAAATTCTCCAAATGCGAATTCTGGCTCCAGCGAGTAGCCTTTCTTGGCCATGTTATTACTCAGGCAGGTATTGAGGTCGATCCATCAAAAGTTGCAGCTGTTCAAAACTGGTCGACACCGAAGAGTCCGTCCGAGGTTCGCAGTTTTCTCGGGTTAGCTGGTTATTACCGCAGATTCATTGAGGGCTTTTCCAAGATTGCTCTTCCTTTATCCCAGCTGACGAGGAAGTCTGTGAAGTTCAAATGGACTGAGCGATGTGAGGCGAGCTTTCAGGAGCTCAAGAAGAGGCTGACTTCAGCACCGGTGTTGACTATTCCCGATCCTTCTAGGAGTTTCACCATTTACAGTGATGCTTCAAGACAGGGTTTGGGATGCGTACTCATGCAGGATGGCCAGGTCGTTGCTTATGTTTCACGCCAGCTAAAGCCACATGAACAGAACTATCCGACGCACGACTTGGAGTTAGCCGCAGTTGTTCATGCCCTCAAGATTTGGCGACATTATCTTTACGGCGGTCAATGTGAGATTTTCACAGATCATAAGAGCTTACAGTATATCTTTACTCAGAAGGAGCTCAACATGAGAGAGCGTCGTTGGTTGGAGCTTTTCAAGGATTATGATTGCACTATTCAGTACCATCTGGGGAAGGCGAATGTCGTTGTTGATGCCCTAAGCCGCAAGGTGAGGGGTGACTTGACTTATATCATTACTCAGCAGAGCCCGTTGATTCAGGAGTTCGCCCGGATGCAGATTCAGGCAGTTGATGCACTTCCTATAGCCATCACGGGGAGTGTCGGTTCAATGCAAGTTCAGTCGACACTGAGGGAGAGAATCCGGTGAGAGCAAGCTTCAGACGAGTTTATTTGTGCGATTGATGCCAAGGTTCGAGTTGGAGGCGTCGAGGGTTTCCACCGAGGCACAGATGGGGCCTTGGAGTTTCGCGGCAGGATTGAGGTGCCAAAAGTCAAAGTCTTGAGAAAGGAGATTCTGACTGAAGCTCATACCGCACCATATCTAGCCCATCCAGGAAGCACGGAGATGTATCATGACCTGAAAAGGTCGTTTTGGTGGCAAGGGTTGAAGAAAGACGTAGCCGACTTTGTGAGGAAATGTTTAACCTGTCAGCAAGTCAAAGCCGAACACCAGAGTCCCATAGGCCTTCTACGACCACTGCCGATTCTGAGGTGGAAGTGGGAGGAGGTTTTGATGGATTTCGTCACGGGGTTACCGAGGTCGTCTGAACATTACGATGTTGCTTGGGTCGTGGTCGACAGATTGACTAAGGTTGCTCATTTCTTGCCAGTATCGATGAACATGTCTTTGGACAAGTTGGCTGAGATTTATACCCGTGGGATCGTTCGACTCCACGGAGTGCCTGTCACTATTGTGTCAGACAGAGATCCCAGATTCACGAGTAGATTCTGGCAGAGTTTGCACAAGGCGATGAGCACGAGACTAGCATTCAGTTCTGTAACACCCCGCTATTTACTGAAATCAGAGTGCGCTTTTTTGCAAAATTTTCTAAATAAAATAATTATTTGCGAAAACTGATTCGAGGTGCTACCGTAAAATCTGACTTATTTTGAAAACCGTTAATTTTAATCTGATAGTAAAAACGGTTATAAAACATTTTAACCGACTATTGTCTGGTCAAAAGCTGATTTAAAGTACTGAAACTGTAGCGGAAAATATAGCGTAGCCAAAACATAATTTATACATATAAACAAATGTTCTGAACGACTCGTCAGCTCACTCCTCGTCCCCTACTATGCGACCTGAAAAACATGAAGTACGTGGGGGCGTGAGCACTAAAACACTGTGCTCTGCAGAAACTCATACTAAAGTAAAACAGTGAATATAATAACAATATCATGATCTTGGCATATATAACTGAACGGAACTGAAACTGATAACTGATATCTGATACCGGTACTGAATAATCTGATACTGATCTCGTGATATAAATCACCTGACTGATATCTGATAACTGAACATCTGCCGGCATAGCCGGACACCATGTGCACACTCTAGCGGGCAGATTAAGGCCACTAGAACCCAGAATGGACCGGCGACCATTCCGAGCGGATACTGAATATACATACCTCAAACATGGTAGCGTAA